AAAAAACCCCTGGAAACCACACATAACATTGATTCCCTTCTAGTTAAATCACTACTTTTATGTATCCTGCGGACAAAGTTCTGTAGTTCATCTCATTCATAGGTGTTTCAACTCGGACTTGATTATTCTTGCAAGTTTACTTTGATTAGAGTGTAAAGGCAGAACTTACATAAATCACGACATATATTCTATGATTTATGCATAGCCCCAAAGAACTTACAAATAAGCACACATGCATAAATATTGCACTTCACTTTATTTTTAATGCACTTTCGTGATTACATTGTGTATGCATATTGATTTAAACATCCCAATGATATTGCCACAACCTCCTCATGGAGTTGTTGTTTTTCTTAGTATTTGTTCTGCTTGGAGTGTCCCCTTGTTTTACACAGTGTTTGCTCTGGCCTCACAGCCAAGCTATCAATGCATGATATGATGAGGGAGTTTTGTTTTTCAGCCATCTTGTCAAAAAGCCTGATACTTATCTGGGCTGACAGAGAGTGACTGAGTCAAGATTAACCAGATTGCTGCCATGCTTAAGAACAAACAAGAACTTGGATCTGCCTACTCCCTCCAGCAGCTTAACCTCTGGCTTTATGCTGGGTCTCTATATGCCACTCCCCCCCCGCCTGTCCCTCCCCCCCAGTCTTTATATTAAATAAAGATTCCATTCAATGATGCAAGTTTAATTAAACCATTTATTTGAAGCAAAATAAAACAGACAGTTGGGATTACATAGAAATACAAATTTCAACTAAAGCGCTAAAACTGTTTTCATTAAAAATGTAATTTCTTGCTGTATTAATTTAGACGTTCTTGGACTGATTTTGAATCAGTTCAATTGCATTTAGCAATCTGCAAACCAATTTCCATAAAAATCAGTAAAACAAAAGCTTTTTTAAAAGGTGCAAATATTTTCTGAATGTTCTCCTACATCCCTTGTAAATGGCCCCTAAATATATGCCTATTACGTAAAGCTTTCTTTATGATAAAAATACAAATTCTATTTGTTTAAAAAAGCCATTCATATGGCTACTAAACATCCTTGTTGTACAAACTGCAAAATACTATTTGATGAACAAAACTATTGATGTGTCTATGATACAGAGCCCATTCTACTCATTAGTGGATCTCATATATATCTATATTGACAGGCACATGGGCCAATATCCAAAGAGTCATTTTTCTATTTGCTGTTATTCCCAATGGCTCTGTTTCTTCTCACCCTACCCAACACCCCATAAAACAATGGAGCCTTCTGGAATGGAATTTAATATGATGGGAGGATCTGTAGCCAGAAGCGAAGTGGGAAATCAGAAGCACTGTATAAATGCATTCCATCCTCTTTGGATTCAGAGCATAGGTATAGATATACATGCAAATACTAAGGAAGAACCAAATAATAAAGGAAGACTTAACACAAATCAGAGTATAGGAAAGTACTCAGTAAGGCTATACAGCTAGGCAGCTGTCTAATTTTAAGCATGTAAAGAATTCCAGGTTATCTAGGCATCTGCTTAAGTATTTTGTGAGATTGGAACAAAGCTTTAAAAGGTAAATACCATTGCATATAAATGCTTTCTTTTTTATGTTGTGAATATGCATGTAAACCTTGCAATATAACATCAAAAACTATTATTTTGCAAACCAAGTACCAGACCATTAGGGTGTTTTCTCCCGAAAAATAAAGTGAGCAAAATAATCTCTTATGTTTCTTTCCCATTTCTCCTGAGCACTTCTCTTTACCTTTCTTTACATATAAAAAGCATTTTCCCCCCATCTTCTTTATAGTGAAAGGGTCCTAACAGGAGAGAAAAACTTTCCCAGAAAGGTAATTATTTTTTTTTGTACATGTTGAACAAACTTTTGGTAAAAATGGGGGAAAAAACCCAAAATGAACAAGCAACTTAATTTATGAATACAAAGAAATGCACAACCAAAATTTCATTTATTGCTATGCAGAGACAAAGTAGTACATTATCTCAGTAGTGAGCTCCCTTACAAAATGATAAACCTATAATTTGCCTTCATCAAAAACCTACCTTAAATTTCTTTTATCTCTATTTCTCACGTGATATTCCTTTGTAATTTTTGTGTTAGAATGCAAAATGAAATTGTTTGTCCATTTGTCGCCCTGATATTCCAAGTGCTTTGCACAGAATTATCAGGTGACAACCCAAGGCAGCTGAAAGGAACAAAGCTCTTATATCCAAACAGTACAACTGCATCAGTGGCCTCAGATCACGTTCTAAAATATGTGTGGTTTAGGTTTTTGAATGCCATCACTATTGTAATGGAATCTTTGCAATTAAAAGTGAGAAGTTGCCATGTACACAGCAATTTAACATGCACCACAAGCAGTGCCCTTAGCATGCACACCTTTAATTAACCTTCACAATAGGATTTGCAAATAACGATGCTGAGAAATACGTAGGTTGGGCCTCAATTCTAAAAAATAGTGTGGAACATTGGGAATGTTTCTATGTACACATGGATGTGTTTGTGTGTGTGTGTTTGTTCAAAATAGCTAATTATTATATGACTGTTACTGAAAAATTCAGATGTGTATACATTTCCAAGTACCCTCTGGAATGTGAAAAATCTAATCAAATACATCGTTAGGGACTGCTTTTAAAATTACAAAATAATAGAAAATAATTGGTATATTAATATTTGGCATTATTAGAGATTAGATATCGCAACTGTAAAAATAACAATCTGTTTCATTTAGTAGATGCACGTTAAATACAACGCATCTGAGAAGCATAGAGGTTGCCTTTAACATTTAACACTTCTAATTCAGAAATGCTGTGCACTCACAAAATTATCATGAATTGGGGGCACAGCAGTTCATTAGAAACCTAGCTTAATTTGTGGCCCTTAATAACAACTTATTAGGAAGCTATGCTATATAGGTGCAGGTTATATAGATTGGAACTATGGTTCTCAGTCTCACTGTAATTGTTTACAGGAGTATGTAAACATTCACATTTTTTATTATTTATTGAATTTGTTTGCCGCCCATCTCGCTGCCAGGCGAATCTGGGTGGCGTGCAATGTTATTTGATATTGGCAACAGTATTTGTGTGGAATTAAGAAAGCAATCGTAGGGATTTTATTTTAAAAGTTGTTCTTTTCAATCATAGTTCCAAATGCTTGTTTGATGTCTGAAAGTGGTGTGCAAGAAAAAGACTTTAGAAAGACTTCTCACAGGTTTATGATGGGTTCCCATGCTGTACAAGTGAGTCACCAAAAGATGCAAAGAATGACTTGCAAAATATGGAAGACCAAAAACAAACAGCAGTGTGATTTCATTTTAGCTTTCTGTACATGAGTAAAGTTTCATTTCACAGGAATAATACTGCAACTTATCTGGAGTTTTGAAGAAGCAAATCTCACAGAAGATATAACATGTTGAGAAACATTTTTGGCACATCAATAATATTTGTAATACATTTTAAATTTTTGTAAAAAGAAATAAAGAAAGATAGTATATTTTTAAATGTCTATTCCTGACAATCAGCACTTGCTGTCTAGAGGATCAAGGCAAAACACTGTGCCTTCCAGAGTCAGTCCCATTTTGAACCCCTCCTGGAACAGAGTAAGAACAGAGAATAAAGTAAGACACAGTATCTCAGTCTTAAAAAACATAATCTCATGTAATTTCAGACCTAAAAACATTTGCACCGTTCTGATTTACATATATGTTTCTCCTGGTTATTGGGTAGATGGTTACTCATGTCTCATACTTTGCACAACACATTTGGAGAGAAAGGAGATTCCTTCCCCCCCCCCCCCGGTACATTTTGACTTCATGATGGTTATGCTTGCTTTCAAGCCAGACTAGATTGCTCCAAAGCTTTTAAGAAATTGGGATCCATCCTCATAATAGACCATCTGACCATTATATTGCATCAAGATATGTAGATCTTCAACTACAAGGCAGAAATTTTATGTGGCCTGCTATAGTAGCCAACAGTCTTCATTATTTTGCTCTTTGTTGCTCATCATTTTCTAATGCACCATTCCTGCAACTGGGGATGGGCTGGATGACGACTCTCCAAACGTCTTTACAATTAACAATGGGGTTAATTATTAATGTAGTGGGGAATGATGAACCATGTAACTTGCTATGTATTTTTCCATTCCTACTCATCCAGACTAAGAGGCAGAGGCACATGGGAAATGCTGTCATATATCCTGTGTGTAATGGGCACTACTTACAATAGAAAGAAAAGTCCTTTTGGATTAACTAGCTCTAAGTAATCTATCCAAATAAAAAAGATTCTGGACTATCCTGGACAAGGATATATTGAAAAAAATAGTATATTTCTTACAGGCATCTATTGACATAAGAGACAAAAATGGCAGAAGTCTCAATTAATACAATACATGTATGCATGTGACATACAGTGCAAAACTTCGAATGAAGCAAATTTTCAGAGCTGCATCGCTTCATTTTGCCCCTTTTCTATTGATGAGTTGAAGGGCTGTCCAGCCATCTGTTACAGGCAGTCCTCGAGTTTCGAGTGCAATGGAGCCTGCCCATTCCACTGGTAACTCGAAAACTTGTGGGAGTGAATCTCGTACCTCGGATGAGATCACTCCCTTGCTCGTTAAGATGCACGCAACTTGTTAAGTGAACATGACATATCACAGGGTGGGGAAGGCCATGGAGGGCCTAGTGATGGAACAGGACCCCAAGGCTTCCCAGACCCACTAAGATACCTCATGCTTCCCTCTCCCTTCCTGTCACGCCAGACTCACTTTGAAAAGACCCGTCTCCTCTCTGCTGCAGTTCCTGCTACCATCCGGATCTGAGGCTGGGGGATGCTCCCGTGGCCCAATCTGGGCACCGGAGGCCTTTTCCAGGCCGCTGCTGCCTGGATCTGAGGCTGGGGAACACTTCTGCAGCCCTTCTAGTGGGGATCTGCCTGGATCTGAGGCCGGGAGATGCTTCTGCAGCCCCCCCCGCAGCCCAATCTGGGTGCCGGGTTCCTTTTCCAGGCATCTGTCTCCTGGAAACGGGCCGCCGGAGGGCCACTGAAACATCCCTCGGCCTCAGATCCAGGTGGCAGCGGCCTGGAAAAGGCCTCTGGAGCACCGATCCAGCCTCTGGACACATGTGGAAGCGTCCTACAGCTTCAGTTCCGTTCTGTGTTGCAGAGAACAGAGGCCTAAAGTACTATGAGATCTTGCCCCACTGATCTTGAGTGATCTTGTATTTTCTTTAGGCCTCTATTCTTTGCGAATGCACCAAAGGCCTGGAGCAGCCAAGAAAGCGAAAGATCTCAATCTTCGCGGGGTGAGTATTGAAGGCCTGGTGCCTAGAGAGACCTGGGAGGGGGTGGGGAGGGAGGGAATAACCAGGGTGAATGTTGCATTGCCACTATGGTCGCTCGTAAGGGTGAATGACTGCCGTGGTGCAGCAACATTCGTAATTTCGGGACTTGCTCGTAAGCACTAGGGGGCGCTTATCACGTAACTTCGAATGAGCGTTAAGTGAACGCTTGTAACTCAAGGATTATCTGTATTTAGGAGAATAGTATACTTGCATGAAAACTATCCCCATTGCCAGTTCCTTTCTTTTCTAATCACCTGTATTCAAGTGAGATCATGGATATGTCCCCATTTTACAACTATTGGTTGAGATATGTATTCTTTGAAAATGCTTGTAAGACAAGTGCTTGCAGGAGCAAAACACCTCTCTAATGTGCAATTAATCTGCTCCCCTTTTTTCAGATCTCCTTATGAACTTGAAGAAAAAAACACATCTGTTTTAACATGGGTAGCATACAAAACTAGAAAAAACAAACACCATAAAAACACATAAACACATTACACCAAATGGAAGCCCATACTGAAATAATCTTACAACCCACAAAAATCTATCAGAGGCCTTAGACAAACTGTAATCCATCAACTCCAGGTTTAGGTTTAAAGCCAGTTTTTCCCAGATTTCTGGAACATAGGAGAGGAGATGCTGGCCCACTTCTTCCATCCCATAAGGTGACAAAGTTTATTAGACGGGACCAGGAGTGTACCCACTTTATGTTGGGATGTAGTTGGTGGGCACAACCAACTGAAAAGTAGTTCAATGCTCTAATATGTCAAAGTGTCCTGCACTAGAATTAGCCAAGGAGTTTTTTGCAAAGTAATTTTCAAGATACAAGATCATTCAATCATGCTTCGGGAACAATTCATTTACATCAATGCTTTTTTAAAAATATACATGAAGGAAAGGTACTATGGAGGTCTTATTTTGAAAGACCGTCCCATTCTTTTACAATTGAAATACTAAAGAGCTAAAGAGCGTAGAAATATTCTTTTCACAATGGAAGAGAAAGAGTAAGGGATATAACTTCTGACTTCATCCTACAAAGATGTACAGTTATATTTAGATATCAGGTTATATAGGTATTGGAAAAGGTACTATATGGTTCTAAAAATGATATTATATAGGTAGGTAAAAACCTATATTATAGCTGAGATGTACACATACACAGTGGTCCTTTATACAGGTAAGTTTTTAAATTAGGTCTCAAGAGGCTAATTATTTATTCAGTCAAGGAAAAAGTTAATATTAGAAAAAAGGAGCGAGCAAGACATTTCCCAGTTTTACTCTCGGCGATTTAGCCCAAAGTTTTTACTCAAAATGTTACATATATACTATAAGAGAAACATTTAACAGGATTCAGGTAGGAACTCAGATACCAACTCACATATTACAGATGCCATCATTACAACAAAATGTACAACATGATGTAACTTAGTAGAAATGAATTGAAACATATGGAGAAAATAATATACCAACCATCGCTGACGCTGCATATCCATGAAAGCACAAAGAAGAAATAATAGAATTATTGCTAGCAATATCAATAAAATGCACAGAAGTATAAAATACATTTAACAGATAATTAAATTTAGCACTGGAAAATACATATGGAATATTTTATCATGCTTTTATTATATACCTTCTATTATAAAAGCACTATAAAATATATGTAGGTAATATAAAAAATGTATAGAATCATTACTTATATTTAACAGATAAGTAAATTTAGCACTAAAATGTGTAAGGAACATTTTATTGTGTTTTTATTCCCTCTTTTATAAAAAGACTATAAAATATATGTAGGTATAACACATAGATGGGGGAGGAGGGTTGGATAAGTTTTTTCCTGGCTTAAATCTACCACATTTCCTCCAGTGTTCACATCTGATATTTACACAATTGTAAAGATTTAGAATTACCTGCATCTCATCTAGCTTAGATTGGATGTCTGGAGGGAAATCTCCTCCTCCACAGCTGAATGGATCAAAAGGTTCTGCTCCAAAAAGGTCTCTCTCTAGAAAGAATAAAACATAGTCAACAGAAAATGATGGGAGGAGCATATATAAAATCACATACTCGAACAACTGGCAAAATGCCCCCCACAACTCAAATTTGCAATGAGCACTATGCTGTATTCTCAAAGGGCAAACTATGAAAAGCTCTTCTCAGCTTGTAATTTTAGAGTAGTAGTCCCCAACCTTTTGGGCACCAGGGACCGGTTCTGGGGAGAGAGGTTTTTCTGTAGACCGGTGTGTGTGTGTTGTGGTTTTGTGTGCTGTCTGCAACCTGCATATGAGGCTTCGCTTGTTCGCACGGCCCAGTTTCTGGCATGCCGTGGACCAGTGCAGGTCCACTGACTGGGGGGTGGGGCCCCGTGTTTTAGAGCATTGCCTTTGATCCTGGGACTGGTTTAGTTTTAGTTTTCTTGTTTTTCCCTGAAACGTATATCCAGGATGCAACATTGGTAAGATGTTCTAGCAAATAATTATCCTTTAGCTAGCTTGTTGGTTTGGGCAATGACTACACAGTAGGAATATATTGCTTTAGGCTATGTCAAGGCATTCCAGAACTTACTGATGTCTGTAGATCTACTGGGCACTGGTGGAAGCTGGGTGCCATTGCGAGTAGGTGTTGACGGCTTTGGGGAGATGGGAGAAAACGGAACCATATCAAAGATGTCAGTGGAAGGAGACTTTGGTGTAACACTGCTTGCCTATAATAAGGAAAATAAATTAGGGCAATACTTAACAATACTAAATGAACAAACAGTATTGAGTTTGCATGCAGAAAGGAAAAGGCCGCATTATCCAATAAAGGAACTTTGGAAACAAAAGGCTGAGACTGAATAATTTGAGCATTTGTAGCCCAAAGTTTATGAAACATGTCCATTTTGCATCAACAACAATTAAAGTATTTCATATTTTGAATGTGTCCTGGCTTCCTTGAATGAAATGAGTTTTGAAAATAAAAAAGTTGCAAAAAAGAGTATAAACACACTTTGAGTTAAGACAGAGATGCTCTTTATCGGGGCAGCAGATTATAAATCAGGATGAAAACTGAAATCCAGAGATATCTTCTTTTATTAACTCCATATTCTGTAATAGTACCATTAATATTTTGCCAGTCTGACAGGATAATTATTCTAAACACTGGAAAAATATTGTGTTGAAATAATAATAATACTTGAACAAGGGTGAAGGTGAACCTTCAGCCTACACTCAACCTACAGATATCCACCACTATTGCAAATAATACTTGAACATCACTGGCACTGACGAAATCTCCATCAGTCATTTGCAAAAGGCAGCTTTACTTGGAACAGCAACAATATGTTTTACACCATCAAACAACATCTGTCTATCTCAGGTCCTTGGGAAGGACTCCATAAGTGGATAAAAATGTCAAATTCAGTCTAAATGGCCTGGCAAATCAATCATAGTATATTAAATGATATGTCACCCGACTCCCACCAATTCTGAATGGTCGCTGGAAACTTACATAATAATGTCAATGCAAATATGATTCCATTTATTTATGCTTAATATTCCAAGATCACATTACTACATAAAACCTAAAGGTATATTTAGGTTCAGCTAAATAACATTTTTCTGCAACCTCTCTCTCTCTCTCTCTCTGATTATGATTAATTATTATATTTGGCATATATTTTCCCCCTTATTCTCAAACATCTTGAATAATGATGAACCCAAAGCAAGAAAGAAATGTGTAGCAGAAAATCGAAGCCCACAGAAATCTAAAGCACAAAATAGGAAATTCCCTAAATTATGTTTCAAAATGCTTTGTAAAACAGTTATAAATTCCATAATAGGATAAGACTTACAGGATCTATAATACCTGTATAATAATGGAATACATAAGATGCATACAACGTCCCAGTTACCCTGTAGGGATGAAGGTATACTATATTTTGATTAGAAATTAAGGGTCTTCAGGATTTTCCTTTGTGGGTCCCACATATTGCTATAGAGAGCTCTAGATTTTATCCAGTGCTGCTTTGCTGTATGTGTAAGGAATCCTTTCAAATTTCTGGGAACTTTGTGATTATAGTGGAGGCTGCTTCTGGTGAAAGACATTGGATTGATGGATTTTGATAAATTCCTCTTCTGTCCTCTGACTTCTTTGTGACCATTCATGTTATTCAGATAATGAACAATTCTTTTGCAAGGGAGGAGGAAGGAGAAAACCCCCCCCCCACTTTTCCCTTACTGGATGGGAGGATCTTTTTATTTTATTTATTCATTAAATAAAATGTACAACAGCCCAATAAAACAATAGCCAAACTTTTATTCATAGAAAGAGTTTATAATCCAGTACTTTATGCCATGTATTTTAAGCAGGCTGGTTAAATCCACCATGGAGAAAACTCTACAGTCCTTGGGTACCAATGTGTTTCCGGAGTAGTATTTTTGTGGCTAGTATAAATACTGTATAACATTCCATTATTTACTACTTCAGGCAACAATAGGAACTTGGCTTTTCTGCAAGAGACAGAAGTATCTGTACACAGTAAGAAGAGGAACAAAGTTTCTGAATACTTTTGTGATATAATACAGGTACTCCTCGATTTATGACTATATGTTTAATAACAGTCTGGAATTATGATAGCCTTGGAAAGGGTGTTTTAGTAAAGCTTCTGACAGTTGCAAAATGTTGCATTATCATTCTTTGATCCCATGATGGTGATCTGGGAGCTTGACAACCTGCTTGCAGGTGCAGGTTACCAAGCATCCCATCATCATGGGATTGCAATCTCTGATCTTCACTGCCACCTTACACAGAAGCTGGGAAATGGGGGAACTAAAAGGGACGGTTGCAAGTTGCTACCAACTGCCTAGAAAACCTTTTGTCTTTGCATGAAAGAGCTGCCTCCTGAGGGGTGATGAATCTTTCGTAGAAAAGGAGCTGAAATCCCAAAGATTGTGGCTGTTTCTATACCCTGCCAAAGGAGTTCCCTTCTGTGCCTAGAGGGGAGGTGAACTCCTTTGATGGCCGAAGAAATGGATTCCATTCCTGCACCCCACTGAAGAAGTACCTTTCCATGCATGGAGGGGAACATTCAGCAGGCAGCTCTTTTGGCCAGCCCCCTGAGGTAAAAGGAGCCAAAATTCAAGCAGAGAGTCAGCCCAGAAAGGTAAAGATCCATCAGGAGTTGGGGGGGGGGGAGAGGAGGGAAGTCTGGGAAGCCTGGTGCAGACCACACATGAGTCTCTCTTTGCTCATGGAATAAAAATCCTATTTGGATTTCAGCAGGCAGGATTTTCAGCTCCCGAGTAGAGCTTCCCATCCCAAGAAACCTTATGCTCCTTACCTAAGACTCCACCTGCTAAATAACCCACATGATTGTTTAAAGACCATAACCAGGAGTGCCGGGATTGTGGTTGTTGGAATGAAGCAGTCACGTGGACAGTCACATGATATTTCACTTAATGACTGCTTTGCTCAATCACCAAGATTCTGGTCCGAATTGTGGGTGGCTGTAAATCGAGGACTACTTGTATTGTTTCCTAGTTCATTTAGAATGTATTATTTCCTTAAATTATTTCCTTAAATGCACTTTGCTATTTATACATAAGATCTCTAGCTAGTTTTGGTTACTATTTAGAAATTCAGTTTTGAATCATTAATATTTTGGTACTATGGAGGGGTTACCACCCCAAAATTTATGTTCATAATATAGAGTGAAATCATTCAATGTACCATGTATCTGTAACATAGATGTACAAAAATTATGGAAGTTTAGACAAAAGTGTCTCTGATATCACTGGTTACATGTTACATTATACTTCATATTCCTCCAGCCTTGTTCTGCCTTAAACTGGCATTGAACTTGTGGGGCATAAGAATAACTTGTAGGTTTCAAACATGATTTGAAAGCATTAACTGGGTTTGCATCTGAGGTACAGTTTTCAAAGACTTTTCTTGAGTTGGTTTCAGCAATCATCAGTTTTTCTATTGCCTGAACATAGTATGAGAATTACGTATTTTACAAGTGTATATCCACCAATGTATCAAAACTCTTCACTGGAATGATTAAGCGACTGCCTTCCATATGCACTTAAGTCTTGTGAAAAGACACAGATTCATTAGGCAGCATATTAGTTAACATTTACAATGTAAAATGTGACAATTTTTTTTAAAAAAAGCTTCAATTTTTATAGTAGTTTCTAAACCCTTCAGAGAAACTAAGTAACTCTTGGTAGGCAATCTAATAAAGCTAGTATGGAAAACTGATTTTCTTTCCACATAATGGATAAGCATTGTTTTGCTAGTTCCACATGAAACATGCTATTATATAATAGAATAAGCACAACTCTATTTTGTGTATATGCACATATTTCTCAGTTCATGCATACACGCACAAACCATTCTAAATAAATTTGCTAACATTTTTCTCAGTGATAATGTTAGACTGACGAAAGCTATGTGTATGGTCCAATCTGTTACTTTTCCATGTCTTTTTTCTTCCTACAGAAAAACAAGTTTCTGAAAAATGGCCCAGCCTTATCCAAATTAATCTTCATATCCCATGGGATGACAACATATTAAATAAGCTTCTTCTAATCCACTTAGATTCTTAGATATATATATATATCCAATATATTAAATTTCAGACAGATCCTTTAAGCCAAGTGTAAACCTTAACATTATATTATCATGAACATCAGTAGTAAATAGTACAAACTAGATTTATTTGCAATTTTATGTTATTTTAAAAGGATGATCTAAACTATATTTAAAAAGACAGAAACTCTGATTATAAACAGATGCTTTATTCTACTTTTAGATAATGCACAGGAAATTACGGAGAATTAAAATCAACTTATATACAGGTAGTTCCCAGTTTAAGAATAGGTTTCATCCCCAAGGTCTGCCCTTAAGTCAATTTTGCCGGTAAACTGGAACAATATTATTGTAAAATATTGCATAAGTAGTACCATGTAATGAACTTGAATCATTGTGTAACTTGAATCATTGCTTATTCAACTTGAATTTTCTTTTCCTAACATCTTTCTCTCCTGCTCATTCTGCTTCAATTACTTCTGTTTGGATCAACTTTTTGTCCTTTGCTATGATCTCTTTACTAGGTAAGTTTCTTTTTCTTTGGTTATTCAGTCAATATTTCCCAATGATAGCCAACTGCTAATTACAAATGAAACTTGCATGAATGAAACTCCATTTCTCTCAGCTCATTTTTAGAATTATTTAAGCATGTTGCAACTCATAAGTGGAACAAATGATGTGCCTTCTTCATTTAGAGACAAAATGAATTTCACTAATATAGATTCACATCTCTTACTGACTTTCCAGGAAAATATACACTTACCAAATTGAGTTCTCCAAGGCTTTAGATCAGGTACCCACTTTTAGGTTGGGTATATATGGATAGCGCTTATAATATATTTCATTTTGTGGAAAAATACTTCTTTCTTTTTATATAAACATGTTATTCTCATTCCACGTTATCAGTGACAAAGGCCTTAACATAAATTTTAAGAAGTAATTAGCCTTAAATTTTGTGAGCTTTATTTTTATATCTGTGTGGTAAGTCTTGAAGTGTAATAACTACATTTACTCCCACAACATAATCTGCCCACCCAAATACAATAATATACAGTAGCAAAATTTTAATCCATAAATATTTTAAGAACAATTTCACATTTTACAGTATTATTTTAGGCCTAAGATGTAGGA